AATTTGTAATGTTTTGAACAACCCACAATAAAAAATTAAAAAAAAAAAAAAAAAGGCCTGTAGGGACTGGGGGGGGGGGGGTAGCTTAGCAACACAGCATGCTCTAAGCACGCCTTGTGAGGCCCTGGGTTTGATCCCCAGCACCCTGCCCCCTCCCCCCCAAAAAAAGAAAGAAAGAAAAGGAAGATCTGGGCAGATTAGCCAAATTCTAGTTCCAATCTGCTTTGAAATAAGTTAAAAATGATTCAGTAATTCAAGAATTTTATAACTCAAATTGAGATGATAATGTTAGTTAACATTTCAGTCCTAAATGGTTCTATGTCTTCTCCCCCATTTCTTTTGTGTGTGTGTGTGTATACAACATATATATATATATATGTATGTATGTATGTATGTATATATATACACATATATGTATATATATATTTTTTAAGCTTACTATGTAGTGTTATGTTTGCAAAATTTTTGAAGCAACTTAAATTCTTACAGTTATTAATCAGTTGACAAATGTTAGTAATAGGTTTGACCTCATGGCTTAAACCTTTATATGTGTGTTAGCGTCACCTGGGCACCTTATAAGAAAGCAAATTCCTGGGCTCTAGCCCCGTGAATTCTGATTTAGTACGTTTGGGGTGTGATCCAAGGAATTTGCAATTTTCATTAATATTTAAGCCAAGTCTAAAGCAAGTTCTGATCATTCTGAGACACTCTGAGGTAAATAGACTGCATAAGGGCTGGGGTGTAGCTCAGTGGTTGAGCCCTTATCTAGAATGGGCAAGGGAGGCCCTGGGTGCTATATGCCCAGCACTATCAAAAAATAAAAAAAGTAAAAAGGTAAAATAGCAAGGTGTGAATATTAATTTATAGGATTTAACACACAATTTATACCAGAGAAAGATTTAAAGCACTATAAACCCCTAAGTACACTCTGATGCATTCCCATTAATCTGCACCTGCCAAGATGCCACCCTATGTAGGCAGGGCTACTACAGGGTGCTAGTGTCATGTCTGTGGTAATTGCTATGCCAAGATGCCACCCTATGTAGGTAGGGCTACTACAGGGTGCTAGTGTCATGTCTGTGGTAATTGCTATGCCAAGATGCCACCCTATGTAGGTAGGGCTACTACAGGCTGCTAGTGTCGTGTCTGTGGTAATTACTATCTGTGGGCATGTGACCACACAGTGTTCAGGAGAACCTAGTACAAGAAAATCTTCTCACTAAGTTTTGAGCCTTTAAATTACCAACAGAAATCACAGATTATCAGTAAATGATCATATAGATGTAGCCCCAGGACTTCATTGTGAATTTTGATCTCATAATCTTTATAACTCTGTTTCTATAAACAACTTTCCCATTTATTTTATTTAAAAGTGTTCTAGAAAATTATTATTCAAGTTGTGTGTGCCTGTGGCCTGTGCCTTTCAATGTTTTCAGAATTCAGTGTCCTGTAGGTGCAGTTTCTTCCTGTCTCTGTCTCTGTCTCTGTCTCCCTCTCTCTCTCTCTCTCTCTCTCTCTCTCTCTCTCTCTCTTTCTCTCTCTCTCTTTTATGGAACCAGAGCTCTAGCATGCTAGATAAGAGCTCTACCACTGAACCATACCCCGTCCTACAGATGCACTTTTGATCTTCTTTGGGACTGGGTGTCTTTTACAGTGTAGGCTTTTGGCATCATTTAACTGTTCCCATGACCATAATGACTTTCCCTGGAAAGGCCCTACCAGTGTTTCTGGCTTCTGCATTTTCCTCCTTTTGCCCTCCTCCCATGTAGGTGGGGAGCAGAGAAGTGAGGGTACCAGATCAGTGATGCCTGGATGTCGCCCTGGAGATCAGATGACAGTGCAGTGTGAGCATGCCCATGTTACCTTCCAGGTCTGACCACCTGGAGCAGACTCCCAGCTTTCCTCTCGGAATTTGTATGGTCTTGGACAAGTAATAGAATCTGTAAGCCTCAGCGTTCTCCTGTGAAAATGGGAATTGTCACTGACTCATAGAGTTATTGGAAAGATTGAGTTAAAGAACCTGGAGTACTTAGCCTGCCAGTACCTGGCACTTAGAAAGACTGCAAATGTCAGTGCTGTTGTTATTAATCAGAAAGTGTTTTCATTCCTTAACACCCTGCCCTTTGTGGTCTGGCACACAGTATCCATTAATTTGCACAGGTTTCTAGTTTCTTGAAACATTTTTCTAATTTTTAAAGGGACCAGATCCTTTTTACTAGAAGGTCATTTTTAACAAGGCACACATAAATCCTAAAACACTGAAGCTTCTGTGGAAACTAACAATGATAAAACTGTGGCTTCATCTTTACAATTAAGATGATGCAGTGAACAATGAGCTTTAATGAAAAAGATAGTCTTCCTTTGATCCAGATAAGTCTTTGGTAGTGAAAGTCTTAAGTTTTGTCCATCAGTCTTGTTTCAGGAGGGAAGTGGTTACACTTGGGAGTTTTGAATTGTGTTTTCAGTATAAGGAAGTTTTACTAAGTTTCTTCCAACTTGAGCACTCTGTGTAAAACTGTAACTACCAAATTTCCCAACACTTTTATTGGTGCATAGTGTAAAGAATTACTACGATTTCAAAGTAGGTATTTGTTCATCAGCGAGAATGTATTCAAGACTGTGGAATGAAATAAGAAGGAATTTAGCAATGTGAAAATGTACTGTAACACAGCCTGCAATTTTTAGGCACCTCATTACACTACCAGAAATAAGGCCACAGTTAGAAATTTACAAGTCATAGAGCATGTGGTGTCTTCTTTCCCTGTAGATCATCATTATAAGATATTTACCTGGATATTCATAGCATCATGCCACTAAAGTGCTGCTTTTTAGGATTTGTGTGTTTAGAAGGAGAGACCAGAATTGCAGGAATTTTAAAAAGATTGATTTACCTATTTCTGCTTAGTTTCTGATATTAGTAGTAAGGGCTTGAAGCAGCATATATCTTTTAATTATTCTCTCAAAGATATTTGCGCAGTGTAGTCTTAATCAGCTGCAGAAGACAGCTGTTGAAGAAAGCTAATGTGATTGTTTAGAGCAGAGAATTGGATGATGGTCCTAATAGCTACTCTGGGAGTATTCTGAATGCTTGGCCCCATATAATGCATTGTGCATACACCATCTTACATAAAGCCCCCAGCAACCCTACAAGAGCAGGCTACAGGGATAGCACAGGTTTAACAGTTAGAAATGGGAGTCTGTACTTGAATCCAGGCTTCTAGGCCAGATTCCTCATTGTTAGTCCTTCCTGTGGTCTTGCTTGTCGACTCCTTAAGATTGGTTGAATCTGTTGCAAAACACTCTCAATTTGAAGTTCTCCTAGGTTGGAGTGAAATCTGTCAGTGCAGTGGAACATTGCACACCAGGCCTGACATCCTGTGCCCTTGACTCCGTTATTTTTCTTGATACAAAAATATCTAGGTCTAAGAAGCACATAAAGAGGAGACATAAAAATAGTGGAATAACTGTTTTTTAGATAATGGCCTAGTTTAAGGTTTTCTGGAAAATCTTAACATGTTTTGCCTTTTCTTTTTCTTTTTTTCTAGTACCATTTATGTATTTTTTCATTGCTGGCCCTTCTGGCTTTTTCTATGCTGGATTATTTCTTCTTTATTGACTCCTTCCTAAAAGTAGCCTTTGACTGGACTTTGGTCAGCTTTATGGACCAATGTGTGGCTCAGCCCTGCTAGTAGTGGCAATGCATTGCAGAGAATGACTTATTTCATTATAATTTAAATTTGATTCATGTCACTTTAAGGAACAGGGTTTCATTTCCTTTTTTAGCTAAGGGGATAACACAGTCTCTTACCTAACTCCTCTCATTTGGGAAATCAATTTTAATTATTAATATCTCTTCCCTTTTTTCTCCTCTCTCATAACCATTGTAAATCATTATGAATGACAGAAAAGGATAATAGGATGATATTAGAGTACATGTCTTGAAAGGTGAGCTGTAAAATAAATAATATGTCCTTAAAGTAAGGCACCTCTACTGATTTTTGTTATTCATATTTCTTTAGACTGTTGCATCTCCGCTTTTGCTTAGTACTTATGAAAGACACAGTTTTGGCAGACTGGAGGATGTTCTATCCCTTAACCTTGTCTCGCTCACCTGCATGGTGTGTGTGTGTGGTTCCTTGTGCACTGGCGGCTTTTATAATTTTAGTCCCATCCTGGGTTAACTCAGTCTTCAAGAAAGCAAAGGGAACAAGACTGTCAGTGATGAGGTATTTGTAAAAAGTCTTTTGGAAAGTAGAAAACTTATAAATATGGGGCTTTATTTGTAATATCAAGGGCAGTTGTTGGAAAGACTTAAAAATACAACCAGAACCCTCAAGTACAATGAAGACCTAAGGGATCCGAGCATAGCTCAGTAGTGGAGACTGGTCTGGCGTGTGTGAGCCCTGGTTTCTATCCCCACATGGCAAAAACAGACATATACCCCCAAAGGCAACAAAGACCAAAGATCAAGCATTCCATGATTGTGTTCTCTTTGTCTGATGGAATCCCAGTTGAGCTGCCCTGAGCCCAGTAGAGACCAGGGTTCACTCCATTTGGTGTGGCTTCAGAGACTCCCTACTGGATGCATACAAGGTTCCATGTGAATGAGGATCTTCCTTCTGCACTCATCACCTGAGAGTGTGGTGAAGGAGGTGAAGAACGTGTTCCCCTGGAGAATGAATGATAAGGAATAACTCACGGGGACAAGGAGCCCACCTGCCACCCGAGAAGCATGTGTAAAACAGATTGATGCTCCATGCTGCGGGGGTTCTCATTCTCCATCTTTTGGTTTCGCAGACCTTGAAAATGGGGTTCTTTTTGGAATTGTAGTACTTAATTTCCTTAGACTGGGTTCTAGATACCATGTATAAATGGGTGAAGGACAGAGCATGGGTTACAGATCTTTTGTGTGTTTAAATATTCAGTTATTTGAATTATCAGATCAAGATGTGTTATGTTTACCTCTTGTTAAAGCTTTCCTTCTTTATTTTCTCTTGCAGCAGTGACTTTATTTGAAGAGTTCTAAGAGACTGAAAATTTACAAGATATGAAGTCGCCTAAGGAATATTTTTATATATTTTATACAATTTCTATCATGAAGCCAGCCGGCATGTGGATACAGCCTCAAAGGGAATATTGTTACTGTGCTAGAAACAGAATTCAGTTTCCTTTGAAACAAGTTTTGGTTTAGAAAGTGTCTTGAAAAAATGTATTACATTTTCAGGGAGGGAAAGAGCTCATTTTTTTAATCTTGTCAGCGGCCCCCAGCCACCATCTGTCCCAGTTGTCTATCCCTGGGCTTGGGGTACACACTGTTTCCCCTTAGGATCATTATGTGACATACTGTGGAATTAGTCCTGTATAGTCTGAGCTCATGCTCTGTGTATATGTGTGTTTCCCTTTCCATCCCCCCAAAGTTTACCATCCCCTTTTGATACTGATTGCAAGAAAATCTCCAATCATTTCACCTCTAACCTTCCTTGCATTGTCTCACACATTAGATTTCCTAGCCAGACTGTTACAAACAAAGAAACTTGAGTGACAAAAGGTCCTTGGAAATAATCTAGTCTAGTACTGAGAAATTGATCCTCCAAGAGATGGGGAGTCCAGTGGGACCAGATGCTAGACCTTGGCTTCCTAGTCCAAGAATTCAGCATTAACTCTGCTACCACCTTGCCACTCCCAGGTCACTGTTTTAGTCAGTTTTGTTTTGGTTATTTTCTTCACTGCTGTGATCGAAAGAACTGACAAAAACAATTTTAGAGAAGTAAAAGTTTACTTGGCACTCATGGTTTCAGAGGTCTCAGTCCATAGGCAGCCAGCTCCATTGCTCTGGCCTGAGATAAGGCAGAGCATCATGGCAGAAAGAGTGTGACAGAGAAAAGCAGCTCAGGACATGGCACCAGGAAGCAGAGAAAGAGAGAGCTCTTGCTCACCAGGGACAAAATATAAACACCAAGGCATGCCTCCAGTGACCTAACTCTTTCAGCCACACCCTACCTGCCTGCAAACACCATCCATTTAATCCGTTCAAGTGGATTTAATGCAGTAATTAGGTTAAGGCTCAAAACCCCATCATTTCACCTATACACTTCCTTGTATTGTTTCACACTAGCTTTTGGGGGACACCTCATTTAAACCATAGCAGTCACTTATCTAATGTTAAGAGGGTTTTTTTTTTAAACTTGAGATAAGCAATTCTCATTTATTTAATCCACTTAATAATGGGGGAAAATAGTTTAAAGGCACACACAGACACACTCACAAATCCTTGTTTCAAACCGGGCATGGTGGCACATGCCAGTAATTCCAGAGACCCAGGGGGTGGAGAGAGGAGGATCACAAGTTTGAGGCCAGCCTCAGCAACTTAGCAAGACCCTGTCTCAAAATAAAAAATAATGGGGTAAAAAGGGCTGGGGATATGTTTCAGTGGTTAAGTACCCCTGGGTTCAATCCCCAGTACGAATAAATAAATAAAAATCCTTGTTTTGACCAACTTGCGGCCAAAACAAAACAACCCACTTGTCATATAAGCTGGACCTGTGCGAACTTCTGCCTGCCTGTCCTTGTGTTCCTGCTTCCAATCTCATAACTAATGCCCGGTATTAAGATTCCTAGTGGCCTGGGAAACACACACACACACACACACACACTCACTCACTCACTCACTCACTCTGTCTCTCTCCTTTCCTCCCTCCCTCCCTCTCCCTCCAACTTTACATTTTAAGGAGCAACTGAGAACATAGAGGCCAGGTTAGTATTTTTGGTAGATCTGTGGTTAGGTGAGGTACATGTCTCTCCCACCTTCCTCTCTCCGTCCACATCAGTGTTGGTGAGCGAGTGCCTTCAGTACTTCTTTTATTTCAAAGAGAAAAAGCACATTTCTCATTTGGATCCCAAAAATTGTTTCTGTAAAAATATATTTCCAAGTATTACTGTAAATATACTTACTTGATTCTGTTTCTGGCATTAAACTAAATATTTTTAACCTTGAAAATGATGGTAGATTTAATTTCATGTGAATTCTTACTAACAACTAATAAATGAAATATGTGTGTACATTCATATACATAGGACAGAAGTCATTATGCAAATTCACTGGGTCCATCAAGTACTAGTCTAGAAATTTTAGGGGTGTGTGTTAATGTAAATAATATATATGGGGTTTAGGCCAATAGATTTACATAAAAATAAAGCATAATATTTTTGCTTTAAAAATATGCCCTCTGAATGGTGAGGGATAAGTGTAAGATATTCTTCAGCTTTAATGATGTTTTAATTTTATTCAAGTTGGAGCACTTTTTTATAGCAATACCATAGGCAAGAGAATACTCAGAAATATTTAAGATTGTATTTATACCAAGGGTACATTTTAAATATTTTCTAATACTTGAGCAGTTTTTGTCTGACTGGCTTACAGATATGCCAAAAGTTAAGCATTCAATATTTTCAACACATACGCTTTTTTCTGGTTTATATTCTCTGATGAGAATTCTTAAGTGTTCCCAAAGCAACCGATGTTTACAGGTCTTGTGTTTTTTCCTCCTTCTCTAGAAGGATTGGGATCCACATTAAACTTACTATCCAAAACACTAATGATGGACAGCTTCTTGGTGTCATAAATGAGTTGGCCACCACCTTGATGTAAACATTTGTAAAGGAAATTTTTTCACTGTTTTGAGTGTCAAATGTATTTTTAACTGTCTGGTTTGTACTTTTGCAACTTTTGTACTACCAAAGCAGAGTTAAAAATAAAAACATTAAACAATGTGTTGTTCTGAATGATCCAATGGTTGGGTACCTTGTACACTGAAGATACAGTCGAGGTAGTGTAATTTATTGAGCTTACTTTTACAGGACCCAATTTTTTAGGTCTTGAAAATTCAAGTGCTCATTTGACTGAGGTTCCTTGTTAGATTTTACCTCTTGTTGTACTTCTACCCCGCCCCCCCCATAATTATTTTTTAAATTTGGGTATGCTTTTGGACATAGAGAAGAGTTAAGAAAAGAAATACAGAGTTCATGTATAGCCTTCACTCTGTTACCCTGTATGTTAACGTTGTATATGACCAGACAACAATGATCAGAACTAAAAAATTAGCATTGTTCCAAAGAATTAAACAACAAATTATTTGGCTCTCAAGAGTTGTCCCACCAATATTCGTTTTCTATTCCATGGTCACCCATTGCATTGCATTGCATTGATGGGTCTTGAAAGAATTCCCCACGCAAAGACACTTCGCCGGGAGAATTCCAATTTTATTGCAAAAAGCAGTGTGCTTATATAGAACTAAGGGGGAGATGGTAGGGTTTAGATAAATGGCAGGCAACCCGTTTATTGGCAAGTTCTTTCAGATATCAGCTCCGGAGCCCAGGAATTAGTTCTCATTGGGGCTAAGGTTCCCCGCCAGCGAGGTTTGAAATTGGCGCCGGTGGGAGAGTTCACACGGCCGGGAACTTTTCGCGCCACTGCAGAAAAGAAGAAGGTAGGAAGAAGAGGTGCTTAGGCGCCATGTTGGGGTTTTTTCTCTGGGGTATGGCTGCCGTTTATACTTTTCCCAACAGGTCTCAGTCTCCTGCCCCTGTGATTGTTCTCCAGGTTTGCCGCAGTCTGGCTGGGCACAAAATTATGAGCCACTCAAGCAGGAACAAACTTTATTTTTGAAACTCCCTGCTAATGCTCCGTACACTCCCGGGGGAAAAAATGCCGACCAACACACTCGGAGTTCTCCCAGACTGGCAACAGGAAATCCCTCCTCCGGAATTCCCTCCTACCGCACTTCCCCAACCAATGGGAACTCTCCAGGAGTCCCGTAGCTGGCTGAGGTGGACAGCAGGGGTCTAATATCCATATGAATGCAGATCTTAACATATAATCATATCATCTCAATGGCTTGCTGGCGTCACCTTTCAACCAAAAATGCCATGCATCATACTACTTGGCTATGGCTCTTAGCACAGGTTGATCTTGTGTTTCATGATTTTGACTTTGTACTTCCTAGTTCTTTTGTAGAATGCCTGAAACTTAGGTTTTCCAGCTGTTTCTCATAATTAGATAGAGGTTTTACATTAGAGAAAGGATAACACATGGGTGACATATGCTTCCCATTGTGTCATCTTAAGGGGACATGATAAAGCTGTGTGATGACCTAGTGATATCCACTTGGATCGTGGGGTTGAAGTGGTGTCCAGCAAGTGTCACTCTGGTAAAATTACTATTTTTCCCTTGTAATGAATAAATGTTTGTGAGGAGATACTTTGGAATTAGATGCACACTTTATTTGAGCTTAAAATGTCATCTGGTAATTTTACCATCTGTAATAGTTTCCTAGGATTCCCAATAATGACTAAAATCTGGGTGAACTAAAACAACATAGGTTTATTCTTTCACGGTTCAGGAGGCTATAGTCTGAAATCCAGTTGTACGCAGAGTTGAGTCCTAAAGCTCCATGGGAGAATCAGGCCCACACCTTCTGCGGTCAGTGGCGGGTGGTGGCTCTTGGCCTTTCTAGGTTGGCAGCTGCTTTGCCTCATGATCTCTGTCTTCATATGGCCTTCTTCCCTGTGTGTATGTCTCCGTCCTTTCCCCTCCTTATAAGGCCACAAGTCATTGGATTCAGGGCCCACAGTAATCCAATGTGACTCTGTCTTGATTACATTTACAAAGACCCTATTTCCAAATAGGGTCACATTCACAGATGCTGGGAATTCAATGTCAACATGTCTTTTGGGGGACGCAGTTCAACCCGCTCCACCCCCCACTGGTTATTACTGATAAGAGCTCTTTCAGGTTGGGCCTTTGGCCTTTGGTGTGGCTCCATCCTTTCCTTTTCTGTCCCCCTCCCCTATCTTTTATTGCTTTCTGGAGCACCTTGAGATGCTGCAGGCTCACCTCTTTGTATGCTCCTTGCCCCAGACCTGCAACCAATCACTAATCCAAGGAGCCCTGGTTTCTTTATTTGGAGAATGATGGAGAAATAAAGATGAGGATACTAGTGTGCTTGTTGATACTGGTGTCCCAGTTTGTAGGCCTCCCCTGTGTGTGCGTGTGCACATGCATGTACACACACACTCACACACACACCCCAACCCATGCATGTGAACACACTGCTCTGTTTCTATACCCTAAATAAGAGCCTGGGTCTGATTCCTGACCCCATCTTACTCCATGGGATTCACTTAAACTTTCTGCTTTCCTTATTTTAAAAATTTTCTTCCTACATAATAAGAACATCTCACTCTTATTATCTACAATGTTTTTACATAATTTGTTCAACCCTATTTTAAGTAAAAAAAAATTTTTTAGCCTACCACATGTAGTCAAGCCAGCTGAACTTAGGTCAGCTCCCCTTTGTCCTTTTGAGAAGTGGTTACGTGATTCTTTGGTAGCACTCATTTGTTACTGTCTGCATTCCAGCTTTCCTTCATATCCTGGCTAAAATTTTTAAAAGTGTGTGTGTGTGTGTGTGTATTTTTTCACACTTTGTGGTGCCTCATTGAATTTTGGTTTGGGATTTTCGTCTTGTGTTTTCCTTGAAAACAAGATCAGTAACAACTTATGCTAAGCAAGTGGAAAAGTTGACATTATAATTTTTGCCTCACGAAAACCCAGAAACTTGGAACATATGCACCAGCAGGGGCGTTAGAGCCCCCCTGCCCCGATTTCTTGTTTCATGGTTGAAAGGGATCTCTGGGGTGATAGACTTGGTTTTTAATTCTTCAGCCTTTTGCATAACTCCTCTATTACAAGTGGGATGCAGAGTCACTGTCTGGCTCAACTCCTAGGGGAGCAGCGAGCAGTTGGAAATGTGGCAGATAACCTAATGTCAACCCGACAGTGCTAGGCTGGACCCTGGCCTCTGGCAGCTCTGGGCAAGTCTGCCAGGGGGACCTGCCCTGGGTCTTGTTCCTTCAAACCCATCTTGCTAGCTAGGCTTTCTGTGCCCCAAGGTGATGCAGTGACTAGGTGGGGGAGCTGGTCCCTCTGCTGGGGACTTGGAAGCAGGTGGACTTATTGCCTAGTGCTTGCCTGTGATGAAGGCACTTGGGGTCCCACTTCCAGTTCTTGTATCCTCTGACCCTTTTCTCTTGGTGGGCATGTTAGTATTATGCAAAGACAGCTTTCTTGGGGGAGCTCTGTCCCTGAGTTACATCCCCAATCCTTTTTGATTTTTTTTTATTTTGAGTCTCATTCAGTGGCTGACCTGGAACTTGCGATCCTTCTGTCTCACCTCCTGAATAGCTGGGATTAAAGGTGTGTACCACCTCACCCCGCTACAGATCCAACTTCTTTCCCCATCTTCCTGGGACCATTCTGCAAACCTGTTCTCAGATCTTTCCCAGAGGTCCCTAAAGGTAGCTACAAACACCTGCCTAGGAGGTGGCGTTGCCCATCCAGCTCAGCTAGTGTCAGGATCCCCTGCCACTCAGCCACTGTGTACAGAGCAGGTATCTTGCCCCCTCTGCTGGCCGAAGGCAACCAATTCAGGCGGTTGGCGTCTTGTGGCTATTACCTTTCAGGCCTCCTGAACAAAAAGTACCCATGAATTTTTGCTAAATGAATAAATAGACAAAAGTCTACCTTTAAAAGTGAAAGAATATCATTAGCTATTTTATGAGTAAAACACTAAATTTGAGTTTTTCCTTACTCCTTTCTGATCCTGCCAGCTTATTTATTTATTTATTTTTCTCATTAGAAGGTTCAGTTCCTTACTTTGGAGCTTGTGTTCCTGTGGCTGTTGCCTTGGATGCTGGCAGTGATGACTAAGTTCCATTTTGGAGGGAATTCCATAAATACCCTACTTCCTTCTTGGAAGTGTTGTAACTATTGGAAGCAGCTTGGTCTCAAGAGCATTAGTATGACCTTTCTTATTGAATTTGGACCCTGGATCTGCTGCTCACTACTGTGAGATATTGGGAAAATTACCTTATCTTTCTGAGCCTCAATTTCTTCCTCTGTAAAATGACCTGTATCAAGGGGTTTTAAGGGTTAGAAAAATGCTGTAGTCACAACACCTGTTGTAATCTCCAGCCAGTGCATTTTATGTTGCTATAACAAAATCCCTGAAGCTATGTTCTTTATAAGGAAAAGAGGCTCATTTTGGCCCATGGTTTTGGAAGATGAAAAAATCAAAGTATGGACCTTCACATTGGTGAAGTTCTCATGCTTGTTAAAACATGGCAGGTGGCATCATATGGCAGGTGTGTGGGCAAAAATGGTGGGCAAGCCCATACAGCAGGGGCAAAACACTAGAGTTTGCTTTATAACCGTCTGCTCTTGAGACAACTAAATGCAATTCCACAAGGTCCCACTCATTTCTGAGAGACCTAATCCAAGCTGAAGAGACATAACCCAGTCCTTCAAGAAATACTAACCCATTTATAGGGTGATGCCTGGGTGACTTAATTATTTATTTTAGCATGCATTTGGGTGGGGACAAACCATAGCCCTTGGTAATGGGCCTGTGTGTATCTGTCCCTCTGTAGCTAATCAAAGTAGACAGAGGGGCCCAGCACACACAGCTTTGTCTAAGAGTCTGTTTGGACTAGGACATTTCTTATTCTGAACTGAGCCACAGTTAGAATTGAAAGTCCTCAGGGGAGAGCCACAGAGTGAAGGAGGGCTCAGGTTTTGAAGAGAGAGACGTCCAGGGGCAGGGGCAGTCAACTGCCAAGCCTCCACCAGCCCCCCACTTGTACCTCTGGGAATGACACCCTCTCTTTTGGGAATCCCTCTTCCCTCTCCTAAAACTCACTGGGGTCCCCTGTTC